GGTCTGGCCGCTGTGCAGGTCCATGGCCAGCACGCGGTCCGCACCCGCCTCCGTGATCAGGTTGGCCGTCAGCTTGGCGGCGATGGACTCGCGGCCCTGCGTCTTGCGGTCCGCGCGCGCGTAGCCGTAGTAGGGGATCACCGCCGTGATGGAGCGCGCAGACGCGCGGCGGCAGGCGTCAATCATCACGGCCAGCTCCATGAAGTGGTCGTTGACGGGGGGGCTGGTCGGCTGCACCAAAAACACGTCGGCGCCGCGGATGCTCTCGCCGACCTGCGGGGGGCGCGGGGCGTCATGGGGTCGGTGCGGACCCGCCGCATTGTGACGCGCCGGCCAGCTCGTGCCTGCGCGCCCTCACTCCAGTCCAGTCCGGCCCGCTCTGCCCCGCTGCTGCCCTCACATGCACTTCACAACTGAGCCGTCGCTCCCAGCCGCGCTCGGCCCCACCTGGACGTAGATCTCTCCGTCAGCAAACCGCTTGATCTTGATCTTGCCCAGCTCGGTGCCCAGGTAGGACGCCACCTCCGCCGCAAGAGACTGGGCGCAGGGGGGAGGGGGTTGCGCCGGTCAAGGGCGGGCCTGCACCGCTCCTAGGGCTGCGGGCCAGCCACAACGCCACAAGACGCAGCCAGGATCATTACGCCTCCTCCCTGCATGGCTGCGCTGCCTGGGGGCCTCCATGACAGAACCTGCCTCCTGACAAAAAGGAGCACGTGCCTGTCATTATCACGAGGCCTGCCGTCGATCGGACCGCGCGTGCTACTCCTACCCGTGCATCGCCCAGCGCCGCGCTCGCTCACCGGGTTGCTGGTGCCGGAGAAGATCCGTAGCCGCGGCGGCATCTGCTGCTGCGGCTGCAGCCCCATCGAGCTGCGGGCCAGTATGCTGTCCTGCCACCCCGCAACGTCCAGGATCGGCCGCCCCGGCACCGCGCCCAGGCGCCCCACAGTTCCCGCGCCGTTGACCGCCACCGCCGTGGCGCCGTTGGACCCGACCGCGCCGCTGGCGCTCGGCCGGTCGGCGACGGACGCGTGCACCTCGGTGGTGGTGCCAAAGTGGGGCTTGTGCACCTTGAAGACCGAGGGGCGGCCATTGCCCGGGCTCACGACGCCTGGTCGAGGGTGGTTGGGCGCAGGCGTTGCACAAGGTTGCCCAGCGGCGGCGGTGCAGCAGGTTGGATGCAAGGAGTAAGAGCCGAGCAGCGAGCAATTTGATTGATTTTATTGGAGATGGCACTACCGCCCGCAGACCCTTGAGCTGCCGTGTGCGATGGCGTTTATCATAGCTCATGCACTGCGAGGCCAGCGGCGGCGCAGCGCAAGCCGATGAACATGGTCATGGTGCTGCCAGCGGCAGGAGCGGGCGTCTGAAGCCCGGAACTCGCAAGCCGAATGCCCTCCATCATAAACGCCCTTCAAGACCATCGTACCACTCGCAGCTGACACAGGCGAGCGCGTAAAAGGCAGACAGCACAGTTCGATGGCGGCCCGCGCCTCACCGGTGTATGGTGACGAGCCTGTTGCATGGCATACTACACCGCGCCCCATCCTGCTGCCACCGAGGAGGGCCATTGTGTGCAGATTGTGTGCGCTGCTGCCGAATGGCGTAGATCGGCCTTCTTTCTTGCGCGCTGCAGCCGCAAAGCCGAAAGTATGGGCAATGCCTGGTAGTGGCGATGTATGTATGGGTGCGGGGAGCTGGGGACCCGTCTGGTCAGCCTCTAGGCTGGCGCCCGCGGGCCGCTGTGTTTCAAATGTACATCAGATACAACGCGAGAGGTGAAAAGGAACGTTTCATCGGTGAAGCCGGCTATCTGATATTTTGAGCAGAGGGTGACCGGAGTCTGTCGTTCCGGCCGCCGCCCACTGCCAACAGGCCGTGTGGCAGGCGTGGCGATGCGGCGGTGGTGCAGGTCGACCTCCCAATGGGGGGCCCTTTGATCATGTACAAACTTGACAGGTAAGTGCAGGCCTGCAGAGATGGATCCGTTCCCCCACTGGACGCCTGGGTGTACTGGCGGCCGCAGCCGTCGCCACATGGGCGCCATGCTGGCGCCCTGAGGTCCACGTGGACACTGTGCATATACGGGCGGCGCCGCGTGGCCCTGAGGAGCCTGCAACCGCGCCTGCTTTATGATGTCCTCATGAGCATTCTGCTGGAAATGGGCTGATGACACATTAGAGATATCTGGGCTTGATATGGAGATGATAACCATCACGATTAATGTGGCTAAAGTCACGTGCTCATGTGAAGCCGTGCATCCTAGTGGACCTGCAGCCATAATCACTATGACACAATCGCGTTCCAGGGCTTGCTGGTTGCAGGGCTCATGCGTGCAAAGGCGAGAAGGGTGTGAAGGGGGGGGGGGTGTGGAGGCCTGTTGACCCTAGTCTGCCGTGGTCTGCGACCGGCGCATTTGTCAGGTGTTTCATGCATGGAGTGCACCGCTTTCTTAACAGAGGATGAGCTCACTCTGCGTAGAAGCAACGCTCCGCGCCTGCATGCCTGCTGCCCGCCGGGTGAGGAAGAGGGGAGACAATGACACAGGGGTGGCGAACAGCAACAACATCGCTCGCATGTTGCCTACGGCCAAGAGTCCATCCGAGATGTCCTCGCGAGCCCATGCCTATCGCTCACATATTAGCTCTCGCATGGCTCAACTCGTTGAATGAACGCGCAGCGGGGTGTGGTCTCGCACGTCTTTTTTCCGAGCGAGACAGGTGACCCTAAGTTGCGGCCCGTGTTGATCATCATTGATTCATCAAAACCTAGCGCTTGAGGGCCTTAAACCAGCGCAGGCCAACGTCGTGCCGGCAGAGCTGCTTGCACGCCAGCACGGGGACCGCGCTGCTCGTGCTGGGCCGGGCACGAGCGGCTGTGCCTGGCTTGCGCCACTGGCAGCTGAGGGTGGATGCCAGCAGCAGCATGCAGCTGCGCAAGCGCAAGCTTACGGACATCGCCGCTCAGGCGACCGCGGGCAGCGGCGCCGGTGACGGGGTCGCAGACGACGACCCCCCTACGCCGCCGCAGCCTGCTGCAGCCTCTGGCCTGCGCGCCACACCGCGCCACGTCGCGGCGCCCATCCCCATCAGCTTCGCAGCGGCCGCTGCGGCTGCGGATGGCCTCGCGCTCGCCGCGGCGGCCGCGCCCGTGGCGCTGTCAACCCCGGACGAGCTCCGGCATGCGGTGGCGCACCTGCGTGCCGCCGACCCCGTTCTGGCCAGGCTAATTGATGCGCAGGGCGACGCGCTGCCGGAACGCCTGTTGCTCAAAAATGGGGACTGCTTCCACGCACTGGCACGCAGCATCGTGTGAGGGCTGGTCACAGGGCAAGGTCCAGTTGACTGGGGCATGAGGCGCAGCCACGCCTGCCTGTTTGTGGCGCACGGGTTCGTGTGACTGCCCTGTTTCAAGAAGAGGGGGGCCTGTTTTCAGGGTATTGCAAGGCGTTGCCTAAACTGTTTGCCAGGTGCAGCAACTGGGAAACGCTGCTGCTCGCTGGCCCTGACCAACCTCTGAGCCCACCCCACCCCTCCCCCTTCCCCACACACCCCATCATATCCCTGCCAATTAGGTACCAGCAGCTGTCCACCAAGGCGGCCAGCACCATCATGGGCCGCGTGCTGGCAGCCTGCGGCTGCGCCGGTGGCGTCGCCCTGACACCAGCGGCCTTGAGGCGCGCCGACGAAGCCTCCCTGCGCGCCGCGGGCCTGTCCGCTCGCAAGGTGAGGCACACCGTTGATCGGCGGCGCTCCCTGAAGCAGCAGGCACGGGCCCTATGGCCGAGCTCCGACCCAGCTGCGGTCATGGTGTGATCTGACGTCCACATACAGCTCCCACCATGCAAAGCCAGTGTCGATGCAACCCCCACTTCGTCCGGCCCCTCCCTCAGGCCTCCTACCTGCAGAGCCTGGCCGTGCACCATGACGCTGGCACGGTCACCGCCGCGGCCGTCACCGCCCTAGCCGATGACGCCGCGATCACCGCCCTGACCCAGGTCAAGGGGATCGGGGTGTGGACCGCCCACATGTTCCTCATGTTCCAGCTGGGCCGCCCTGACGTGCTGCCCGTGGGCGACCTCGGGGTGCGCCAGGGCATGCGCGCTGCGTACGGGCTCAAGGCGCCACCAGGGCCGGAGGAGATGGAGGCAGTTGCGGAGCGGTGGCGGCCGTACCGCAGCGTGGGGGCATGGTACATGTGGCGGGCGCTGGAGGGTGCGCAAGTCATGAATAAGGGCAACGGCAGCAGCACCAAAAGGATTAAGCAGAGCAAGGCGTAAGGTTTTCGGGAGCGCTTATGCCTTTCGCTGTGTTCTGTTTGTAACCCTGTACTGCTAGTGTTTGGTTGGCCCCAACCGGATTATGTTTTCGGTCTCCTCCCTGCAGCAAATCCCTGTCCCATGAGGCTTCTGGCTGCAACTGCTGCTGCTACTGCTGCTGCCTCAAGTTGGCATTTTTGAGAGCTGACCAGCCATGTAACCCCAGAACCGCGCGTCACCCTGCGCCTCGTGTCAACGGTGTTTTACACATCGCGTGCTCAGCGAGCCAGCAGCGCAGGCCAGGTCTCTGCGAAGCAGGCACTGAGAGCAATCGGCGGCGCTGCCAAGCCTCGCCGGCGGCCCGCGCGTGACGACTGTAGTCATTAAAACCACCGGAAGACAACACACCTACGCGCAGACAGGCGCGTAAGCCTTCGCGGCCAGGCAAGTGCGGCAGGTTGGCTCGGGCCCCGCTGCACCGCCCACCGCCAGGACGGGCGCCCTGCTGGGGCCCGCCCCTTCCGACCCGCCAACATGAGGCCAGGCCGGCCGCCGCTCAGGAGGTCATCTCAAAGCTGCTGCTGGCTGCTGCTGAAAACGGGTGCCCTGGCGCAGGGTGGTCGACGCGCCAGGGCGGCCTCTGGGGTACGCTCAATTTGGAGGCTTACAGGCCCAGGCCGCTCTCGTCGTCCTCGAAGTTGCCGAAGTCCTTCTGGGCGGCGAAGTACAGTGACCAGACGAGGCCCGCCACGCCGACGATCACCCAGCCGAGGACGGGGTCGTTCACGCCGAAGGGCAGGCCGGTGCCGTCGCCGTTGAGGCGCTCGTCGACCTGCGGCGGGGCCACACAGGAGGCAGGGAAGTTGGGAGGCAGCACAGGGGAGAATCAGATCAAACGCGGCTCAAGCACACGGGCATGGCAAACAAGGCGTGTCAGCAGGCTTGAAGCACAGGCCACGAAGGAGCAGCCTGAACCCTTTGGCTGCGCGCCAGTGGGCAGTGGTCCTGAAGTTTCGAGGTTGATGCAATGCTGCGGCGCATTCTCTTTCACTACATGGTCGGGCTCTGCTACCCTAGAACTCACGATGGCGAACGCAGGCGAGGAGGCCAGCAGCACGGGGGCAGCGGCAACGGCGGCAGCGGCCTTCCTGGCCGCCTGCTGCAGCGAAGCGTTGCAGCGCACGGCACCTGCGGCGCGCAGTGTGTGCCACGGAGATCTTGGTGGGCGAGCTACACTAGTGGATCGAATACCGTACGCTTGGCCCCCTGGCCGGGGAGCCTCTGCAGATGACGAGGGGCAAGAGCTGAACCGCGATCTCGCCCCGATAGCAAGATGGGGGGTGCGAGGGTCCCTTTACCGCAACCACTGCTGCTTAAGTGAAAACGTGGAGTAATAACGAGACAGTGCGCAAGTGCGAGCAGCAATGCATGCGTGGCCTCGACGCATCGGGACCATCTGCCAGTGCTGCTTGCGCCGAACCCGGCCTGTCCCACCCCGCACTTGCGGGGCCAGCGGGCTCACCGCGGACGCGGGGCGCGACACTGCGCACGCCGGTGGCCTTCGCCACGGTCTGGGTCTGCTTGAGGGACAGCATGGTGCTGTGCTGCTGGTGCTTCACAGCTGGAGGTGTCTCACAAACAGAAATGTTCTTGGTTGGCAGGCGCGAGTGTACTTCAGAGAGGTGATGCTCAGCTATGTGTAGGCAAGATCAGTCTGAGCACTCTTCGAATTCCAGCTCGGGTGCTGTCGCCCCGTGCGCGCTGGCTTTTTGAGGAGCGCGTCACAAGACCAGTCATTTTTTGTCAACTTCGGGATCGTGTGCAAGGGCCAGAGCACCAACCCGCTGAAACACGCCGCGCTGCAAATGCTTTGATCTCGTCGTGCCATGCTGCGCCATGCTGCGCCATAGAGCTGCATAGACCCAGCCGTTGGTGGCCCACAAGCCTCTGCATAATAGGTTCGCAGCTACACTGATGCTCCAAAGCCTCACAAGACGAGTTGTACGCACAGCAAAATGGCACCAGCTGTCGAACGTGGGTTGACCGCGTGACCGCAAATACAGTGCGCATGCACGATGGCTGCAAGCTGACACACATGAGTTGTGCCCTGAATGCAGTGAGGGCACAAGTAGTGACAGTGGGATCAGCCAGCATCCGGTAAGGTTGCCGACGCCCGCGTGTCATTCCTCGTGTTGCCCAGGTGTTGCCGAGGAATCAGTGCGAGCTGATCAACCTCTTTGTTTGGCAGGTACATTAAATGAAGCCGACCACCATGCATGGCATGAACCTGCGCTGGCCCAGTTGGCATCGGCGCTTGTGTCTCACAGTAATACTGCCACTGGATGGACTTTGCGTCTGCGGGGCACTTGCAAGAGCGCTGGCGTGTTCTGAGGGGCTCAGGAGATGTGTTACCCCGATGTACGGTACGGTACTTTCCCCCAATTCAAGTGGGATCGATTGGTAGTTTCCGACTCGATACACTAGCTTTAGATATACATCATAACCAGGATACAAAATACTGCCCCGCGGTCGACGAGTACAACCGTTTGATTGCACGTACATAAGGGAGATGCAAGCATGCAGCACACTCATGCATTTGAAATGCTCAAGGTCTACGCGTGAGCCGGGGATGCAGGCAGCTGGCCCAATGGCAGTCGATGCTGGGCGCGGTTTGTTTATTGCTGCCGGCCTGCCAGACCGTACTGTATCATATGCGTTTGGGAGAGCTTGTACTCGGTGATATGTGACCCAAGGCCGCGTCAAATCCGAGAGGTCCTGCCGGCGGATGTGTGTTTGCGCTATCTGTCGGCACCGAAGCTTCTTGCCACCGCCCACGACTGCATCCTGGCGCGGCTCCAATGCAACCGCCCAGGTTTGTTGCGCTGTGGATATGCCTCAGCAGTGCTGTTGTCTTGATCAACAAGGCGATACTGGACCCGCAGCTGGGGGGCTTCCCGTACCCCCTGGCGCTGAGCATCGTGCACATGGCGTTCTGCTCCCTGCTGTCCGCCGCCTGCGTGAGGCTGGGCCTGGTTGAGGCACCGCCGCTGCCATTACTCACATACTTGAGGTGACATCCACGAGCAAGCAACTGCACGCTTGTGAATGGTGGGGGCACAGCCAGCAAGACACCAAATCGCATGCGCTCCTTACATACAGCGAGGCTGTTGCAATGATTCAAGGCGACGACATCATCGGCTGAGCTGCTTGGCTGTTTCCCCTGCCACCTGTATTGAAACGCCCGGGAACCGGCACTTGCAGGGGTGTGATCCCAATCGGCGCACTTTTCGCGCTGGCGCTGTGGGCCAGCAACACAGCCTACCTCCACCTGAGTGTGAGCTTCATACAGATGATCAAGGTGCGCTTTGTCCCTGCTGCTCCACTGCACACCTCGGCTTGTGAGATGTGCAGACGCTCACGAGTTGATGGCAACCATGCTGAAACACTCTGATTTTTCCTGAGTATGATGATGCAGTGGTTGCTGCACGCACATGCAATGCATCTTAATCTGACCATGGGCGCCCTCAGGCCTGCAGCACCCCAGGCACCCATGCCCCTCACTCGCCACGGGCGATATGAAAATAATCACAACATCATCGGGGGGGCCTGCACCCCACCAGGCCACGATGCCTTTGCTGGTGTACTTGATAGGAGCGGCTTTTGGCACAGAGGATCTGGAGCCAGGCCCACTGGCCAACATGGTGGTGGTGGTGGGCGGGGTGCTGCTGGCTTCCTATGGTGAGGCGCAACAGCGGGCGGGTTGAACGGCTGCTGCGCCCTGGCGGGGAAGGGCGCAGGACGGGGGCAAGATTGGGAGACGCAGCACACAGGCGTCTGCCGCTCACACACCTTGAATCACCTGTGGCCAGCACGCTTGTGCCTGGCAATCGCCACCGTGGCGGAGGGGTGGCAACTGCACATGTTGGCCATTAGATATCATCACAACATGCCCTATTTCTGCCTTGTGCACAATCCAGCTGAGGTGAGCTTTGTGCTGGTGGGCGTGCTGCTACAGGTGAGACCTACCACCCAGTCGCACGCAGCGGTCGCCGATGCGCAGCGGTAGACGGTCCAGCCAGGGCCTTGCAACCTCCGAAAAACTCACAGATGAATGCCTGCGCCACCATGTATCTGATTCAAGTGCGGGTATTTGCGCTCTGCGCGCCATGTCAATGCGTTCACACAGCGAGCCAGACAGCCACAAGTCACTGTCAAAACAAGCCATCTGCGCCGCCGCACCGCACAGGCGCTGGCTCTTTTTGCTGAGGCGACGCGGCTGGTGATGGTCCAGCTGCTGCTGCAGGGGCGCGGCGTGGCGCTCAACCCCATCACCACCATGTGGGAAAGGGCAGCGGGGAGGCTGAGGGAGGAGGGATAGCGCTGGATCCACCTGGAAGTGGTGCAAGGAATTACGAGTCATGCACAGTGCCTGTTCCCTGCTCTCAGACTGACATGAAGGCCTGGCTGCCACAATCAGCCCTCCGCTGCCCCCGCAGCGGCCAGCTGATGGTCCCTCCGCGCGACCCAACAGGTACCACGTGGCTCCCGCGTGCTTCTCGTTCCTTCTCGTCCCCTTTGCCGTGCTGGAGGCGCGCCCGGCCTTCGGGTCTCCTTCTATACCCGTTGGCCGCCTGATGGGCAGTGCGGCCGCTGCTTTTGCACTGAACTGCTCAGTATTCCTGCTGGTTGGGAAGACCAGTGCTCTGACCATGAATGTGGCAGGTGTTGTCAAGGACTGGCTGCTCATATTTGCAAGCGTACGCCTGTTTGGGTGAGTTGGATTCAAGTTGGGGTGAGTGCTGGACAACGATGGACAGGGCACTTTGGAGGAGGGACAGGCCACAATCTAGGTGTACCCGTGTGGACCCGTGTGGGGCCCCAACCAGGATATTGCTGTTGGTGCTCTGTGCCTTTGCTTGAACCCAGTGTGCTTACAACAACACATGCGTTTGGTACCCATCCGCCGCAGCTCTGTTGTGACGCGCTGGCAAACCGTGGGATACAGCATCGCAATGGCCGGAGTGTGAGCGCTTGTGCAACGCCAAGGGACGCAGCTGAGGGACAAGTGTGGACCGCCACAGCTTTGCAATTGCTGTGATTGTGGGTTATTCGAAGTCCCTGCTCATCCTTGCGTGACTCCGGGATGAAGGAGGCGGCCATGTGCTGGCGTTCCACCGCGATCCAGCTGACACCCTGCTTCCTCGTTGGACGACCCTTTCCTTTTTTGGTTGCCCTGCCGCCACTGCGCAGACTGTGGTACAATTACTCAAAGATCAGGAGAGGTCAAATGGTTGCAGCAGCACAAGGCACTACTGGAGCCGGCAAATGCGCTTCAGGCGACAGCTACTGCGGAGGCGAGGTCAAGCAGCCCCTGCTGGGCCAGCACGCAAAGCAGGGTCTTCACCAGCCGTCAACGCCGCCCACGCCACAGCGGCTGCAGCATATTCGACAGGAGTCGTCAAAGGCGCAGCCGCGGGTTTGCTGAAGTAGTTGGATTCCCATGATTTGATACCAATCCAGAGCAGTAGGTTACGAGAGAGGCTTCCTTCCCACACAATTTTGAAGTTTGCTGAGACACTAGACAGTCATGCATCATCTGACCACCACACTTGACCTCTGAACCATGACCGAGCCATTTTGCGAATGTGATTTCCTAGCATGTAGGAGGTTGAATGTAATTTCTTGTTTGTTTGCCTCAAGCCAAGAGTTCCTTGTAGCAGGGTTGGGCTGATGGCGCAATATGCAGCTTGACTGCTGCTGAAACGCAACCACCTTCTGTAGCTCGGGTTGAGTGCAATTGGCTGGCGAGCAGGAATGGCGTTTTCCCGTCTCGACACACCCTCCCGGTCGCAAGCTCATTTCCTGGCCTTGCACATGCAGGCTCACCAGGGCCCTATAGATAAACCCTAAATCTTGTGCCGCAAAAGCAGGGTTTACATCCGGCCGCCAGACCAGCCTCCCCGCACCGCACTTGAGTGCCGCACCTCCAGCAGCGCGCCGGAAGCTGTGTACTCCCTCTCAACAGTCAGGCAGGTGCCCTCCCCTATCAGCCATGCAAACGACATAATGATCCCGCGCGGCGCCGGCGCGGCAGCGACGGCAGCGCCCAGGCTGCTGGCCCCGACCTTTCCATTACCGCCGCTATCGCCGCTGCCGCTGCCGCTGCTGCTGCCGTTGCTTGAGGCTGCTCCCGCTGCCGCCTGTTGATCAGGCACCATCCGGAAGGTAACCACGCACCCGCCGGGCAGCCACAGCGAGCCGCCGTCGTCGCCACCGCCGCCGTCACCCGCGGCGCCGTAGCCGGGCACCGCCCACTCCTGACGCTCCTCGCGGCTCATGTAGAGCCACACATCCCTTCGGTCCACATATGACACAGGGCATTTGTGTGAGAGGACAGGAAAGGGATGAGGACGGGAAAAGGGGTTGATCCATGCAGACCAAGGAGCGGAGTGGGGTGCTGCTGTGCTATGCCCGGGGAGTTGACCGCTGGTTGGCGGGATGGCGCCAACCAGCGCGGACTGGGCGCAGCTGATGGGCAGTGCTTTGGCGCTGTGGAATGCATGGGGCACGTGGCGGGCGTCACCCCAATCGACAGCCTCACAATGAGCAAGCGGCACCACAAGGGAGCCCCCTTCCCAGGAGGCACAGCGCCCGGCACGCGATTTTCCCGCCCCCCGCAGCAGGACGCGACCCCAAAACTGACTTGTGTTCAGATTCTACGCGCAACTGCCCCTCTACTATGGGACCATGGTGGCCCGGCCTGCTCACGACACGCCCACTCCATGTCCTCTGCACCGGTTTTCCCCCCAGCTGCGCCCGCACCTGGCCTCTCCTGTCAAGGGGTCCTCCTCCCTCACGGGCGCTGCGCTGACGCCAAATGCGTTCCACGCCCCCACCAGCTGCCCTGGTGCCGGGCGCGGCAGCTGGGGCGCCGCCGTGCCAAACGCCTGGGAGGGGGGTGGCTGCTGGAGGGGTGCCGCGGCTGCGGGGGTGCCGGTGATGGCGGTCGGGCCGCTCCAGTGCTCCACATACAGCAGCATTCGCGCCACCTAGGGTCGGCGAGGTGTGCAGGCAGCCGCATGGTTGAGAGCAGGGGATGAGGCTGGGGGTTCTCGAGGCGGGGCCAACCGGACGTGAATGGGGGCATGTTTGACTTGGCGTGTAACGCAACAGCAAAGATATGTTGTGCTCCAACTATTTGCCGTTGCGGACCCGAAACATCATGGACAGCAGTGTACCGGCACCCTGCCCACAATTTCAAGGGCAGCTGCCCGCCATCGACCGCCTCCATGCACACTCCTCATCCGTGCGACACTGCCTGCGATCAAGCCCCCGCTTGACCCCGCCCCCGCACCTCGACATCGATCTCGCCCCCCGGGGGCCGCCTCAGCTTGAGCGTCGCCACCAGCCGCCGCCGCTGCTGGCCGCCCTGCACCAGCGCCTGCTCCACCACAACCGTAGACACAGGCAGGCCCGCCAGCTCAGCGTCCTCCTCCCCCTCGCCCGCCTCGTCGTTCTCCCCTCCAACCCCCCCGTCATCCTCGTCTCCCGCGGAAACGCCGTCGCCCAAACCCTGGGCGCCACCGGGCAGAGCGTCGAGCAGCTGCTCCACCGAGGGGCCGTCGCCAAAGGCGCCGCCGTCGCCAACGTCAAACGCAGCGTCGCCATCGGCCCAGGGCCCCTCCTCCTCCTCATCAAGCAGGTCACCTGCGGCGTCAATGTGAAGACAGAGCCGGACAATTGCGCTTTGCTGGTGGTTGCTTTGTGTTTTGGATGTCAGGCCTAAGGGGGTGGGCTGAGGTGGGAGTCAAGACAATAGGCGGGTCCAGGCACAGCCGCGCCCAGCTCATGTTAATTGGAAACCTGCCGTGCAATGTTTCACACAGAAGTGCATCCTGCAGACTCATGGGCTTGGCCCTGACGCCATCACATCACGACTGCGCTTTGTACATCTCCAAGCCCCCTGCCCGCGCCCTGTCTCTCACCCAGGTCCAGGGGCCCCACCGAGTAGGCGCCCCCGTCAAACACCACCGCGCCGTCAGCGTTGTATCCAAAGCCCTCCGCCTCGTCGTCCTGCCCGCCGCCTCCTCCCCCGCTGCTCGCTGCGCCCGCCTCCTGCTGCTGCTGCTGCTGGTCGCCGGCGGCCGTCGCCGCGGCGGGTGTAGGGGCCAGCAGCTCTGAGAGGTAGGCGCCGCGCCGCGTGGTGCGCGTGAAGAGGTCCCCCTCCTGGTGGCCGGCGTCGCGCCCCTCCGTGGCGCGGCTGTACGCGTGGAGGAGGTAGCGCCCCTTCTCGTCCGCCCACACTGGCTCGGGGTCGCCTGGGGAACGAGTGGGGGGGGGGATGTTGTGGCGTTTGTGATGGTGTGTGTGTGTGTGTGTGTGTGAATGGAAGTCTGTGCATGTGCATGCATGGCATGTGTATGCGTGTGCACGAGCAATTTGCGAGAGGTGGCGACGACCGACACCCCCCGGTCACGTCAAGTCAGAGTGCCCCGCCTGACCCCCCACCCTGCATGTCCCGCAGCGCCGCCCCACCCCCCACCCCCAGGGCACCCTCCAGCGGGTCCTCACCCCCCCAGGGCGTGTAGGCCGCGTACTGCCCCAGCCACTCCCCCTCCAGGTGGCCACAAAACGTGCCCCACAGCGGCGCAGGGGCCGGCTCCCATCCGCTCAGCTCGTCCTGCAACGCGACGCCAGCAAGGTTTTTGCTCAGCACATCAAAACAACATACAATATGAGTTGGCTCAAGCTGCTGCATGGATAAGCGCTTTGATTCAATGTGACGTTTGTCGCTGCTCCCCCTTTCCCTCAACAGCAGCGCCAATACGCGCAGCCCAGGGTCATCGTGCAGCACACGCCAGTTCGTCAGCTACGCGACAGTCAGCAGTCCAATGCGCCCGCGAAGTCACCAGAAGCGCAAAGCGCCACCCACCAGGAGCTTGTGCTGGAGCGCCCCCGACACCTGGGCTGGTGGCGGGGCCTTGACCGTCTGCCGCTGCTGGCTGGCCGGCTTCGACCCGCCCTGCTGCTGCCGCTTCTGGTCACTGCCCTTGCCGCCACCACCCTGGCCGCTGCTGCCCTTGCTGCCGCCGCCGCTGCCGCCGCCACCGCCACCGCTGCTGCCGCTGCCCCGCTTGTTGCCACCAGCATCGCCGAAGCCGCGCTGCGTTTTGCCTCCGCCCTGCGCCCGCCCGCCGCTGCCGCCGCCGCCGCTCTGCTTCTTTGGGGCTGCTGCAGCCACTGACTGCATGCGCCTGTGCTGCTGGCGCAGGCTGCGATGGTGCACAGGCAGCCTCCAGCTTTCGACCGCGCGGCCCAGGCTGAGGTAGTGCCGCAGCTCAAGCTGCGGCGGCCGCGAGCTTATTGCCGCCATGGCGATGGGCGCGCTGCGCTCAATCAAAAGCGGCTCACCAAGTACAGGGTAAAAGCAACCGTGTCAAGCTGTTGATGATGACGAACAGCACACGAACGGCTGTCACTTTGTACAGCACTGCAGAACAAGATCAAAACACGCGCAAATATCGCAGCCGCCCATTAGACAATTGCTTTGAAAAGCTTTCAAGTTGCATTCGTACACAGACGGATTTTTCTCACGTGTCCCACACCCCATTGCAAAGCATTACCTCGTTCCACCTGCCACACAGCTATGGGCAGCGAGGGCGATCCCGAAGCTTCTCACAACGACGATAGACCGCATGTGCTTGTATCCTACCGCGGCCGCGCACCGCAGGCGGTGGCGCTGGATGGTTGTGCCACGCTTGGGGACCTCGCGCGTCGCCTGCAGCAGCGGCTCGGCAGCGACTCCCAGTGGGCGCCCGAGACGGTCAAGCTTTTGCCCAAGGGGTCCACCAACGCGCTGAAGCCGTTTGAGCAGGCGGCACGCACGCTTGCAGACGCGGGTGAGCATCATGGGGCGCACCTTGCCCAGCATTCAACATCCGTTTGACTATCGTGCGCGCCGGCATCACATAATGCGGCAGATATGCCCCTGCATGCATGTGGGCCGTGTCCCTGCGCCACAGCACACTCTTGCCCACCCTGGAAGCCGCACCCAGAGCCACCACGCCGCTTGCCCGCTCACCTCGACTACCTTCGACTACCTGCACCCTACAGGCATCGGCCCTGGCGCGCGCGTGCTGCTGCTGGCGTCAGACGCGGCCGCCGTTGAGGGCCTGCGCTCCGCCAAGGACCTGGCCGGCCTGGTGCCCTTTGAGGCGGAGGAGGCGCGCGCAGCGGCCAGGAGGAGGCGCGGCCACCCGAGCGGCGGCACCACAGGTCTGCGGGCCGCGCGAGCCTGGCAGCAGCTCACCGTGCAGCCAAGGGAATGCAGGGGCTGGCTCCGCCTTGCGAACGGCTTGGTAGGTGCCGTGTTGGACATGGTTGCTTGCACTGAGTCACCCGTCTGCCCGCGTCCTCTTCACCGACATCCCCCAGGCCGTCACTTCTTTGGGGGCTTCAAGGTGATGGAGCACCCCGGCCTCACGCCGGCCCCCGCCCTCGCGCTGGCGCTGCTGCAGCGCCTGGCCTGCGACCCCGCAATCGCGGCCGTGATGTCCAGGCGCGGCTGGCGCGTGGGGCTGCTGAGTGAGATGCCCCCCGAGGGCAAAGTGGGGGTGTCGGCGGTGTGCGTCCTCGGGTACAACGTCAACCAGGTGGGGCGAGGGGACCCGCCGCCGGTGGTCGCAGGGTGGCCGGGGCGGCCACAAACGCCGGCCGGCTGGGTGTGGCGGGGCGTCGTCGCAGTTCAGGGTCACATGGTCGTCATGGCATCTCCCACTCCCCTTACCCCGCCTTGGTTGATACCGCATGGCAGACACCTCCCCCCCCCCACCCCCTTCATGTCCATCCTGCCCAACCCCTGCTAGGGCCAGGAGATCAGCCTGCGGCTGCGCACCGACGACATGCGCGGGTTCAGGAAGTTCCTCAAGGTGCGGGAGACCCTGGTGCACGAGCTGGCGCACAACGAGTTTGGCCCCCACGACAACAACTTCAAGGCCCTCAACAGCCAGGTGCGCCGGGGGGACAAGCCTGGTGTGTGCGCCAGGCAGGGCTGGGGGCTGGCTGCTGGCGGCCGGGCGCTGGTGGCCGGTGTCAAGCTAGTGGGTTCAAGAGCTTGCAGGCCGAGTGGAGGTGCTGGAGTTGCAAGGACGCAGGGGAGGGGCGCCGATGCCTGCGGGCAGCGGCGTGTTCCACTGAGCGCTTGCCTGCAGCAGCAAGGACAACGGGGTCGCAGGTACCGGCGGCTGCACCTCACCTGCCGCGCGCCGCTCTGCCTGCTGGACGTCCAAAACTCTGAATGTCAAACCCGGCCATCCGCAGCTGCTGAGGGAGGTGGCGGCACACGAGGCCGCGGCTGCGGCGCCGGGGCGGCTGCTGGAGGCCGCCGCAGCCAAATGGCGCGGCATGGGCGGCGACGGCGGCGGCGAGGATGACTACGCGGATGACTACGCGGGCCACGACGAGGCTGACGGGCCGCACACGGGCGTGCGGCTGGGTGGCGCCCTGCCGCAGGCAGCAATCGGCACGATCAGCGCCGACGCGGCGGCGGCCGCGCGCGCTGCTGCAGGCGCGGCGGCACTGCAGCGTTTTGAGGTGCTTGAGCAGCGGCAGCGGGAGCAGCGGGAGGCCGAGCGCGCCGCGCAGCGGGCCGGGAGCACTGCGCCCGGCACCGGCGGCGGCGTTCTACCGTCTAGCGGCAGCGACGGTAGCAGCGGCAGCGATGGCGAGCGTGAGAGGGAGAGGGAGAGGGACGCGCAGGACGCGGGGCACTACGATCCCTCTACTGACGCCAAGGAGCGCGAGATGGAGCGGCTGGGGTCGCTGGATGGCGGCGGGGTCAGTGGTGATGACGGTGTGAGCATGCCGTTGGAGCCGCATGCTAATAACGTGGGGGCAGGGCAGGCGCAGCGACAAGGACATGAGGAGCAGGAGCATGACGCGGGTAAGAGCGACCACTGGCGAGAGGGGGATGCCCGACAGGCGATGGAGGTGGAGGGGCTGCCGCAGCCGCAGCAGCTGCTTGCTGGTGAGGCGGGCCAGGAAACGGTGTCCCCAGTTGGGGCAGCTGCGGCAGCACTGGCGCCTCTGCACATTCCGCCAATGCTCCCTCAGCAGCAGCAGCAGCAGCAGCAGCAGCAGCAGCAGCAGCAGCAGCAGCAGCAGCAGCAGCAGCAGCAGCAGCAGCAGCAGCAGCAGCAAAACGGCGACGAGGCGGCGAGCGACGCTTTCAGCGCTCTGGACAGCCCAGCGGCCCGCAAGGCATCCGCGGCGCGCGCCGCCCTGCAGCGGCTGCACCTTGAAATAACATCCGCAGCGACAACGGACGGCGAACCGCCGGCGACAGCGCTGGCCGCGACGCTGGGAGCTCTGTCGCGTGCGCTGCACAACGTGGTGTCTCACCCGGGGGATACCCGCTACCAGGGCCTGCGGCTGTCCAACGCGGCGGTCGCGAGGCGACTGGGCAGGTGGAGCGCAGCGCGCAAGGTGCTGCAGCTCGCAGGGTTTGAGGAGGGCGAGGCCGAGGGGGTCCCGGCGCTGGTGTGGCGGCGGCGCGACCCTGGCCTGGCGTGGCTGGTGCTGTCGGTCGTGCAGAATGCGGCTGCCGCCCTTGCAGAGGGGCCTGCGTAATAGGAGAGTGGCAAACAGAGCTGCAGTCGCGGTGCTATCAGGCACCATAGTCGCAGCTTGCTGGCATGCTTGATCTCGTCCTGGGTGTTGGGTTGACGTTTGTAGCAGTTGTGGGCCCTCGCTGCAAAGCGACAGGCACAATTCAAATCACTGTGATGTGATACGGACATAACCCAGCCTCCAAACCAGGTTTCAGACATGTCGTGGTTACACGCTGCTTGTCTGCCAAAGCTGCTTGTACAGCATGCTGAGATATAGCATGGCAAGAAATGGATGTGGTACGAAGTTGACCGGCGCCAAGGCAACGGCCTGTGTAATAGTGAAGGGCTGGCTTGACGAGGACAAATAAGTTTGAAAAGGAGTTGAACAGGCATAAACAGCTCTGCAACGCGGACCATCAGCACATAAACCTCCAGCAATGCATCCATTTTGCAGTGCTGGGCTGGAAGAGGAGACAAAGGCACATGTGGGCATGAGGTGGGCATTGAGAGCAACAAAAGGCGCCAATTGTCCGTATTTGATCCGCTGCTACCCTTGTCACCGTAGTACCGCCCGCGTGCCGTCATCAGCCCAGCAGGTCGACGTCCTGGAAGGCCGATGAGTAAAGGTCAGGCACCCAGCACACCCGCGTGCTGGCTCCCCCAGCGGCGTCGCCCCCCGCAGCAGCAGCATCACCACGCGCATCCCCCTGCACATGCACCTCCATCCGCGCGAGTGCGTCGCGGCCCAGCAGCCCCGCCAGCAGCTGCTGCTGCGGCAGGCCGCGCCCCAGGCCGTACAGCAGGCGCCCCTTGAGCTCGCGGCCCCCGCGGCGGCTCAGCGAGTCGTCGCCCAGCCACCGCTTGCGCGCCGCCGCCGCCAGCAGCCGCGCGGCCGCGTAGCCCCACTTTGCGCCGCCGATGGGCCCTAGCGCCTCCAGCCCGCGCAGCGCCTCGAGGCAGCGCCCGCCGCCCGGCAGCACGCCCAGCATTGCCCAAACCTCATCAAACACGCGCTCCGCCTCGGACGCGCTGCCAGCATCAGCGCCGCCGCCGCGTCCCGTCAGCGCACCCTGGGCGTCGCTGGGCGCGCTGCGCAGGCGCGCCGCAGCGCCGGCCGCCGCAGCATCGGCCCCCAGGTCGTCCGCTGAGGCGGCGTGCAGGCGCGCGTCCGCCAGTGCCAGCAGCAGCGCCTCGTGGAGGTCGAGGGCGCTGCAGGACGACGCGCTGAACGCGTAGCGCGCCAGACGCACCGCCGCCTTGGGCGGCAGCGGCGCCCCGGTCCGCCAGTGCTGCCCCAGCAGCGCCAGCGCGCGCGGGTCGGCCGCCCATGCCTCAAACACGTGGCTCGGCAGCTCCCGCGCGTCCACGCCGCCGCCGCCGCCACCCGCGCCGGCAGCGCCGGCCGCCGCCGCGACCAGCGGGTGCGGCGCGGCGGCGGACGCCGCGAGGAGGGCGACAGCGTGGCCGGCTTCGTGCAGCAGGGCGCGCAGACCAAACGGCCCGCGCAGGGCGGGCGGCCGGCCCGGCGGCGCGGGGCCGTCAGGGTCGTCGTCCCCACTGCTGTCGCCTCCGCCGCTGCTCCCCTCAATCGACAGTGCCAGGGGTAGACGGATCACGACCGCCCCCGGCCCCGGCTCGGGCCAATAGCTGCCACTGCCGTCGCTTGTGCCTCCTTCATCGCGGGGGCTCGCACCCCCTTGGTGCGGCGCAACCGTGGGCCGCAGCAGGGTGGTGAAGGGGAACCCGCCTGGCGGCGCCACCTCAATGAACACGTCCCCCAGCAGACTCCAACCCTCACGCATGCCGCCGCCGCCGCCCCCAGCGGCGCTCAAGCCCTGGCCCTGGCTGCCTGCGCTGGGGCCAGCTGGTGGGGCGGCGTCGGCGTCCCACAACTGCAAGTGCCACACCCCAGGGCCCCAGGCCTGGTCGGCCCCGTCCCCGTGCGGCGGCAGCAGGCGCAGGCCCAGAGCCGTTGCCAGCAGGCGGTCCAGGCCCGCCCACAGCCCCGGCAGGGTGAAGTAGTCCGAAAACTCGCGCCACACCGCGCCGGACGCGACCTCCTGCGGGGTCGCAAATTTCGGTTCCATGAGAGATATGTTGTCGGAGGGTGGTGCGGACAAACTCAAAAGGCGGCGCCGGCGGCTGCGGGAATACATGTGTGGGCGCAAGGAGGCAAGCGAGCGCACGCGGCGGGCATGGCAGTGAGTGTAAAAGCGCCCCCGGCAGCGTGCCCGATCCCAGCCCACCACGGCGACCGCCTGCATATAATAGTCCACGTCCCAGGGCGGCAGGGCGCCGCCCCCTTCCTGCCGGCCGCCACCCATGACGTCACCGTCGTGAGCAGTGCCCGCGACAGATCGCCCCGCGGCGCGGCCGCGCCTCTCTGCCAGCGCCTCCAGCCCCGCCAGGTCAGCCGTCGCGTACCCCGCGACGCCGCCCGCCAGCCCGCGCAGCAGCGCCTCAACAGCCGCAGGCTCCCGCAGCGCGCTGCCCCCCGCCAGCTGGAGGGACAGGAAGCTGCCCGCACCACGCTCGCGCGCGACCGCGGCGCGGGCGCGCGCCAGCGCGGACAGCACTGCCAGCAGCACCCGGCGCCGCGGCTCGAGGCCGGCTGTGTGCAGCAGTCTGCGCACGTCGGGGTTGGGGTGCTGCTGCAGCAGCAGCGACAGGACCTCGCGCGTCACCACCAGCACACGCAGGGGCGCGCCCGCGGGCAGCTCTAGCCAGCCTCGCTGGGGCACCACCGCGCCAGATCCCTGCGCCGCTGGCTCCGCCTCGCCTGGCCCTGCCGAGTCTGCTGGCCCCGCCTGCGGCCCCCCCTCCTCGAGCCGCTGCTGGTGCTGCAGCAGCCACTCTTTTGCCGTGTCGGTTGCGCTGACGAGGCCCGGCAGCTCCAGCAGGCCGCCTCGCCCCGGCGCTACCCGCACCCGCCGGCTGCACCGCAGCCGCAGCGGCGCGCCGCCCGGCCACGCCGGGCCCTGCTGCTCCTCCTGCTGCCCCTCATGCTGCTGCTCCTGCTGCGGACTGCGCGTGTCGCTGAGTGGCGCCCAGGCCCTGCCGTCCAGCAGAGCATCGCGCAACACAGGGGCCACCACTGCCGCCTGGTCCCGCGTCATCACCAGCAGCGGGCTCAGCCGCGGGTCGGAAGCCACGAGCGCCAGCGCTGCCGCGGCCGCCTCCGCTGCTGCCTGCGCCGCGCTGCCGCCGCCAACTGCGGTTGTCGATGCGGCTGCTGGTGCCTCGGGTGCATTGGCGGGGCCCTGCCCTGCGGCGCCGTTGGACGTGTATGGGTGGGATGCTGCCCCCTCCTCGCCGCCGCTGCCGTCAACCCTCTGGTGGGCTGCCGCGGCTGCCGCGGCGTGCAGCATCTGCCTGCAGGCCGTGAGAAGGTGCACGTCCACCGGCTGCTGCTCCTGCCGCTCATGCTGCAGCGGCGTTCCACGGTCATTCGTTGCGGCGGCGCCGCCAGGTACCTCGCCATCACCGCCGCAGCGCGCGTCGTCACCCGGGGCCAGCCCGTAGATCGTGTCCTGCAGCACCTCTGACGCCGCCATCAGCGCCGCCACCTCCCGCGACACCCCGCCTGTCCGCCCCCCTGACTCCCGCGTGGATGCCGCTGCGACGCGACCATTGACGAGGTCCACCAGCCGCCCCCGCTCGGCACGCGACGGCTGCAGCGCCGCGGCCGTCTGCAGCAGCGCCGCGACAACGCGGGGGTGTGTATAGACCTCCGCGGACGCGATTCGGCAGACCTCCAGCAGGGCGGCGGCTGCGGCGGCCTGGGAGGGATCCGGGTGGAAGTCGGAGAAGAAGCGCGCCGGGCGCTGCAGAGAGGCGAGGGCCAGCGCCAGGGCGCCCAGGGCTGACAGCAGGGGCAGGCCTGCGCCACCGCGGAGTGGGTGGGTGGGCAGCGGGTGGCAGTCGAGGGGATGGAGAGCCGGGACGAATTGGGGTTGGAGGAGATGCAGAGTGGGGCGGGTGGAGCAGGGCATCGCGAGAGCGCGTCTTGGCGATGATGATGCGGGCAGCCTTGGGTGGTTCGGCAACACCGTTCTGTGCCGAGCGGGTCTGCCTTGGACTGGCTCACCTGGCTCTGAAGCCAGCACGCGTGCCTGGAGGTCGCAAACAACTTCCAGCTCGGCATCAAAGGGCTGCTGGAAGTCAGTCAGCAGCTTGGGGCCGGCGATGCGCGCCAGGCCGGATACCACCTGCTGGGGCGATGCAGCCGCGCCCGCCGGCCACGGCCGGCGGCGTGTCTGAATCCTGGACGCGCGCCTGCAGCATACTGCCGCTGGCTTGCTCGTTGAAGCTGCAACATTCGTGAGCCGCCTCTCAATCATCCTATAGCAGCCGTCGAAAGTCGAGATCGTTTTTCCATTTGGCGCACCGTGGCACAACCTCTGAGCCGTGCGTTTAGGCAAGATCGATTGCATCGCCAGCCAAACAGGTCAACGCACCAACTACTATAATACCTATATCAGCTTGTAGCAATTGCACCGCCACATCCCTTCACTGCAGGACCGCACCCGAACCAGCTGGCACCCGCACCAGCATTCTGCTCGTGCTGCTGACTGGCCCCACAGCGCACCCGCAACGGATTCTCCGGCCAACGGGTGCAGCAGTGTAATCTTCTGTCCAAACCAGGCAGCTGGACAAGAATACAGTGTCTTGCCGCACGTGCGGTACCCAGATGCAGGCGGCGGCCGCCGCCAGGCGGCTTGTGGGTTCGTCGTGGCACAGACAAGGCTGCGCAGCAATGGAGTGTGCACCCTGGCGGCGCGTGAGCTCTTCGTCGCTATGCGCTGCCGCCAAGCGCCAACGGAGCTTCCCGTCAAAGCAGCAGCACCAGCAGGAGGAGCAGCAGCAGCGTGCTGGCGGAGACAGCAAAATGCTGGCCCGCAGGTGGGTTTGGGATGCCTTCATCCAACCCCTTTGAAGACAGTCGTCACGCCCCTTACCCTCCGCCCAAGTGCTGTGGAAGCAGATTCTGCCTGCATTTTGGCACCCGCTCACAAGCCGGGTCGTGCCCTCGCAGCGTGCGCGCCATGAACATCAAGGTGATATCGGTGTCAAAGGCCAACAGCGGCGGAGCCAACGCATTCGCAGACGAGTGGCTTGAAAAGTTGAGGTGCGCGCCTGGCGTGTCACAGCGCAGCAGCGGCCACCAGCTCGCTGATCCTTCCGGCACATGCAGTGCTGTTGGGACACCTCACCTGTGGGCATGGCTGCGTGCCGTCGCTGCGGCTGCGAATGCATCGTCGCGTTTCTGGGCGCCAGTCAGTGTGGCCCCTCCCTGCCCCCGGTAGACGCTACACGTCGGCCGAGGTGGTGAGCATCAAGCCCAACCCCCTCAAGGCGAAGGATGTGGAAGTGGCAAAGCAGGCCGAGGCGCAAAAGGTCACACGTGTATGCGGCAGGGGGGGGGGAAACCTTGGGACGGCGGCAGCCGCTGCACAGGGTGTGGTCTGCTCGTCAGAGCGCTGCCCCATCTGACAACGCGTCCCCTTTTGTCTCCGTGGTCTCCTCATGATGTTGATTTCTTGTGGCCTCCCTGCTGAGCCGCTTTGCCCCCCCCTTTCCTGCCCTCACCAGGTGCTGTCTCACATAACCCCGCGCGACAGGGTGGTGCTGCTTGACGAGCGCGGCAAGGAGGTCAGCAGCGAGGACGTCGCCCAGATCATAGCGGCAGCGGGAGACGACGGCACCCCCCTTGTCTTTTGCATTGGCGGGCCGTTTGGCCACGGCGCGGCGGTGGTAGAGCGCGCGGACGCGAGCGTGCGATTGTCCAGGTGCGTGCGCGTGCGTGAGTGCGCGCGCATGCACACATTTGTGTGCAAGCGTGTGTAGTGGGGGTGGCGAATCATGGGGGGGGGGGAGACGGGCAAACACGGGAGAGGTAGGAGGGGTGTGGAATTGGTGTCCAGTGGGAGGAGGGGAGAAGTGGGCCAAGCACACCAGTTTCGTGCGTGCCGAGGAAAAATGATGGATTTGCTGCCAGCCTCGATGTGTTTGAGGAAGAGCACATTTCTGCTC